CTTCATTGTTTGCTTCGTGTCTCTTCGCCTGTCTGGGAAACATTTCTTTACTTTATGTCTTCACCGGACCCCATTTCACCCCTTACACACACACACACACACACACACACACACACACACACACACACACACACACACACACACACACACACACACACACACACACTCACTCCTCATTTCTCCTGCTACCCATCAAGAGCAGCTGATTTACGTGGTGTTTGCACAGGGATTGTGCTCATAGCTCTGGAGGAAATGAAAAGTTCAAGTTGCACCACTAGGCTGGATTCAGGTTACTTAAAATAGTTCTTTGAAAAACTCTTGTCATATCACTTTTTTGAAAAGGGAGTGTTTACATTGTTCATCCACAGGTTACACATGTCTACCTCCTCTTTCTGTTCGTAGTTTATTAGAAGAATAAAATGGATTCTGCTCTGATTATATGTTTGGTTTCTAAGTACTGAGATGCCATTTTTACAGGTGCCAACTCTTGATGATTTACATCTTGCTTAAGAAAAACCTTTATAATCTATTGCCCCATTTACACTACCCACTGAAAATTTATCCATGCCTGTAAACAAGCAAATCAACATGGCGAGGCCCATAACATTCAGGAAGTTTGATTATAATAGGGATATTTCATTGTTCGCGGAGAAGGCAGTCTTTGGTGAATTTACTTGACAAAGTCGGCTTTTGGGAAGTGGATACGTCAAATGATATTCTAATGAGGACTTACAGATGCAGGAAACAATGACAGACGTTGAGGTTCATCACACTGCAAAGCAGAATCATCACTGGAAATCATGCGGCACGGTAGAGAAGCTACTAATATCTATGAACGTCTGAAATTTCATGATTACAGAAGCTAACTGTAAGGAGATGACGCGGTCTGCTCATGCGCTCTTTGTTATCTGAGAACCGAGCCTGAGGTGAACCGTGCTGAGCCCTACTGATCAACTAGTACCAGTTTAGCGTGGTTCGGTTGTGTCTGGCACGGTCCAGTTCAGTTTAGTGTGCCATTTACACTCAAAAGTTATGTCGGTTACTGTGCTCGGACCGATTTGGCACAGTTTCAAAAGGTTAGTGTAAATGGGGCTCCAAGGGGGGAAGATTAGGATCATAATGTCTTAACATCAGAAAATAGATGAATAATTAATGGAATGTCCTCTTTTTTCACATTAATGTAGCTACTAAAAGGGCAAATAGGATTTGTGTGTTCAGGATGGCAAAATAATGATCCAAGTATGAATATTTGTATTATGTAATCAGAATTTACTTTATACTGAACTGAAAAGGTTATTTTTGTTATATACTTTCATTACTTTGCCTTAGTTATCAAGCTTTTATTTGTTATACACTCACCGGCCACTTTATTAGGTACCCCATGCTAGTAACGGGTTGGACCCCCTTTTGCCTTCAGAACTGCCTCAATTCTTTGTGGCATAGATTCAACAAGGTGCTGGAAGCATTCCTCAGGGAGTTTGGTCCATGTTGACATGATGGCATCACACAATTGCCGCAGATTTGTCGGCTGCACATCCATGATGTGAATGTCCCGTTCCACCACATCCCAAAGATGCTCTATTGTATTGAGACCTGGTGACTGTGGAGGCCATTTGAGTACAGTGAACTCATTGTCATGTTCAAGAAACTAGTCTGAGATGATTCCAGCTTTATGACATGGCGCATTATCCTGCTGAAAGTAGCCATCAGAAATTGGGTACATTGTGGTCATAAAGGGATGGACATGGTCAGCAACAATACTCAGGTAGGCTGTGGCATTGCAACAATGCTCAATTGGTACCAAGGGGCCCAAAGAGTGCCAAGAAAATATTCCCCACACCATGACACCACCACCACCAGCCTGAACCGTTGATACAAGGGAGGATGGATCCAAGCTTTCATGTTGTAGATGCCAAATTCTGACCCTACCATCCGAATGTCGCAGCAGAAATCGAGACTCATCAGACCAGGCAACGTTTTTCCAATCTCCTATTGTCCAATATCGATGAGCTTGTGCAAATTGTAGCCTCAGTTTCCTGTTCTTAGCTGAAAGGAGTGGCACCCGGTGTGGTCTTCTGCTGCTGTAGCCCATCTGCCTCAAAGTTCGACGTACTGTGCGTTCAGAGATGCTCTTCTGCCCACCTTGGTTGTAACGGGTGGTTATTTGAGTCACTGTTGCTCTTCTATCAGTTCGAACCAGTCTGGCCATTCTCCTCTGACCTCTGGCATCAACAAGGCATTTCCGCCCACAAAACTGCCGCTCACTGGATGTTTTTTCTTTTTCGGACCATTCTCTGTAAACCCTAGAGATGGTTGTGCGTGAAAATCCCAGTAGATCAGCAGTTACTGAAATACTCAGACCAGCCCTTCTGGCACCAACAATCATGTCACGTTCAAAGTCACTCAAATTACCTTTCTTCCCCATACAGATGCTCGCTTTGAACTGCAGGAGATTGTCTTGACCATGTCTACATGCCAAAATGCACTGAGTTGCCGCCATGTGATTGGCTGCTTAGAAATTAAGTGTTAACGAGCAGTTGGACAGGTGTACCTAATAAAGTGGCCGGTGAGTGTATGTCATGCAGGCGTCCTGCTGTGCTCTTTCTTAGGCTACGTTCACACTGCGGGCTTTAATGTTCAATTCTGAATTATTTTTTGTGAAATCTGATTGTTTTGCATGTTTGTACACATATCCAAATATATGCGACTTTTATTTGATCTCCTGTGTGAACTGCATTCATACAACTTAAGTGTCCCGCATGCACACTAGAGGACGCTATAGTCACCTTTGTGGAGCGATGATGATGTTCAGGTCGTATTGGATTTAGGACCACATAGCCAAGTGGCCTGGGTCACATTTGAAAACATCATCAAACGTCATAAAAGGATCAGATAGAGGTCGTATACTGGCAAAAACAAAATCGGATGTGGGTCAGTTCAGGCTGCTGTGTGCTGTGTCTGTGTCCCTCAGTCACTATATATAGTGGGGTCTACATAGTGGAATTTAAAGTGAACTCAGTTTACTCACCATTCGGAGAGATGATCACTACTTTTCGCTCCGCGTTGGTCAAGAAGCTCCCCCTCCCACCATGGTGCATGCCTCATCTTTGTTATTAATCACCACTACAAAAATACCATGATGCTGTGGGAGGAGAGCTCTTGCAAAGCAATCTGGGATATATCTGCTCATCTAGTGACGATTGTTGATCACTACTTTTTAAGGTGCATTGTGGGAAATTTCGAGTCCACTACTTTTTTATCCACTCATTGCTCAGACACTCATCTAAAATGGCGTAAACACTATATAGTGCCCTATATAGTGATAAAGGCAGATGTTCGGACACAGCCTTACTCTGCCTTCTCCTGCTATGCTTCACTCTCCTGATTTGGGGATCAGCTTCACGTGCTGCTCTTAAATTCCTGCAGGTGTTTCCACCTGGGTCTCGATCCACTGATACTTGCTTCTCGCAGCCATTCTGCACCAGATCGTGTCGTTGCTTATATGCGGTTCATTCCCAGTACTTGTGTGCACTGCCTGCCTTTCTGTGCTCACTGGGTTCCTTTAATCTTCTCACTTTGGTTAAAACCTGGACTGCCTCTGCCTGCCACCGGCCTGTTCTGCTTATATCTCCAGGTCAATTGATAATATCTACATCATTTGGTAAAACTTTTAAGTGCTTTTCAAGCTGGATTATCTGATTCTCTGTCTGATTGCTAACATTATATGTTTGAAATAAAGATTTGAATATCATTCATATGCAGAGCAAAGGCAATGTTACTATTTGTGTCAGAGAGCAGCTAAAAAAAAGAGTTCTACTATTATTTTCAAACTAAATAATTACCATGTTACCATAATTAGGGAGGTTTTGCATATAATTGCAGAACCGGTTTCTATGCATGTGCGTATGTTACTTTAACTCTGAGATTTCCAGACAGAAAAAGAAAACTTTGCTGCACATGATTCTGGTGGCACATTTTAAAATACCTTTATCAGTAGTACGAGCTGAAACTTTAGAATGGAAAAGGATATTTTCTTGTTTTCTTTTTGTGTACATCTAATAGTACAAAGCTAAGGACTGTTTTTTATTAATAATTTGCAGTCAGACTGTTGCACAGATTCAGTCCACCCGCTAAAATACAAAAGCATTTTCTGGTGGTTCTGATTTCACTGGTTTTGAATAAACATATTTCTCCTAAACTGGTACAATCCTTCTCTTTCTGTGAACAGCTTCTGATTGTTTTCTGATAGTAGAAATTGTTGTATTTGTACAGAATCGTAACCAACCTTAGAGATGGTTTTAAGGTTAATTCCCAGTTTCTCTATGTTCGTATTTAGTTTTCTTAAGTTCTGACTGACAATTAACAGAAGTTTTCTGTCATCTATTGCCTCATCAATGTTTGACTGTTTCTACAACCCACTTTTCTTGCCACCTAATAACTTATCAGTCATTTATATAAGATAGTTTTAAACCCAAAATGAATGTTATTACTGCTTTTTGCTAGCATTGAACCACTTAACATGGTTTCCTCCTTCCTCACCAAGTGTCTCATTCTCAGATAAGTTTTCTTTAAAAATGTTTTTTTTCTTTCATGTATCAGAAATACTTAGTTTAAGAAAAGATGTTTCATGAGGAATGTAAATGAGTGCCATTCCCCTACCACTCGCCTCCTTTCTCCTACTCCTCTGCAGCTCATTGGCCTAAGACTGGCTCCCCATGGCCGACCATAAGCATGAGGAGATCATCTATTAGCATAATTGCTTCTCATTATATCTACCACCTATTGATCATTCTCTCTAGGACAAAGGAGAAGAGAGTGAGTTCGGATCAAACAATGTCCTCTATTTAGTACCATGATTTTACAGTTTAATATCAATTCAACAGGACTTCTTTTGTTTACTGGAATTCAGACAGAACATATTTTGGTGATGAAGAAGCATTAACTATATTATTTTAATTTACACTTTGATATAGTATGATATAAAAATCTATCTTCTCCAGGTTTTTACGTCAGGGTTGTGGTCAGGCCAGTTCCTACTGCGGCTGTCTATGGGAGAGAGGCAGGGTCCACCCTGGACAGGTTTGAGACACACAACCATGCACACACACCTAGGGACAATTTAGAGATGCTAATTAATCCAACAGACCTGTTTTTGGACTTTGAGAGGAAGCTGCAATAATACAAATATTTCAAAAGCCAAAATTGTGGAGATGATTTTTGTGTCTAATTACAAATAATTGCCTAAACCGGTTTCATTATACATTGAAAAACACCTTTACAGCCTCCATGAATGTAGAACGGATGGCGTTGGAAACAAAGCATATTTTATTAATAAACCTCCCTGCCCTTTTATGGCATTAGAGGCAAAATGTCTGCATAATGCATATCTCTAACTGGTTTGAGAGGACGATGTTTGAGCTGTTTTAGAAGCATTTTAATTTAGCTCTGTTTTATTTTCTGCAAGTGAACTGCAGCAAATGACCTCTAAATGCACAGTAGATTCAATTTGCACCCTGATATAAAGGTGGATCATATTCATTCCCTTACATCCCTGTTATTTTCAGTTTCATCTATATAAATCCAATAATGATTATTATTCTTGCTGTAGTACAGTGCATTGAAATGAGACTATAGATTTTTCCGGACAGGAACCCCAGATTGAAATGGTTGTAGCAATGTGGGAATTCCAACTGATGAAAGTGGTTAAAAAAGAGTTTGAAGTAAATAATTGTATTGAAAGATGAATAAAAATGCATAACGTTTTGATTCTCAATCATAGTGAAAAGTCAGAAATAGAATGTTCTTTTATTCCTGGTGTTATTAGAAGCATAAGGATATTTGTATCAATTAGACTGAATGCTTATCTTTTACCTGCATTTTAACCTTAATCTGTGAGATCAGGGATGGGTGCATATGTAGAGAAACAGACATAATATTTTCAAAGCTGAATGAAACAGTCAAAAGGAAAAACATCAGCTGAAATAGACTGAAATTTCCACATCTTTTGAGAATTTGTCATGCATGGTTTCTTATTTTAGACCAACCATGATCTCTAAGGTGTTGCACAAGCAAAAGCAGCGTGGCCCATTACCGTCTCTCAAAATAAGCAAGAAAGACAAGAAATATTTGACAAAAAAAGCTTGAAGTTTTCATTCATTTAGTTATTCTGCATAGCTTTAACTCTTCCAATCCATCTTCAGTTAACATCTCAACATTATTTAATTTTGGTTTATCTGTGTTGAAATCTCAGAAAAGAAAACTACTGCCAGCTTTGCTGCGGTTCAGGAACCCCTACTGGGTCTCCTCTGTGTATCCAGGAGCAGAAACGTCTCTCAGTGATTCATCTTTGAGTCATTTTTCCAGTGCTTGTGTTTCTGTCTGTGTTTTACTTCCGGTTTGGTTTCAGTGGATGTCTGCAGCCTGTGTAGGAGGATGTATGATAGATTAGCAGATCGCATTGTGTTATTTCTCCATCCTCTAGACCTTGCTATGTGGGACACCTGAATAACAGATGGGAGGAAATCTTCTACTATCTGAATAAAATGATATCCTAACAAACCAGGTGTCTTTAAGTCAGTCAGTTTCCAGTAAGAAAAAAAACTCCACCTCAGGAGGACACCCTTTGTGTCTGTTTGCTCTATCTGAGGATTCCTCCAATCTGGGAGCTGGTGGGCGTCTTGACACCCCCCGCCTTCCTCTCCCCTCGTCCCGTCCTTCTTACTTCACTGCCTCCAGCCAATCAGAGGACAGAAAGGCCTATTCACGTAACTGCCCCCACCCCCCTCAAGGTTCCCATGACAACGAGCTTTGGTCCAGGCAGCATCTTGCTGTGGTGAGAAGAACAGGGTGAGAAGCGGCAGGAGGAGAGGCAGACACACAGGAAGGAGAAAAATAGAACAAACTGAGCTGGAGGATTACGCTTTTGGATCCCTTCTTCCCTCTGTGCTGTAAGTCATCTCCTCTCTCCTCTTCCAGTTGCATCCAATTCAGATCAGGGATTTTAATGCAGTTGTCATAAATATTTCATGGTGTGTCTCTGAGGATATTACAGGTGACATCATGCGAATTCTTTGTGATCCATTCCGAATGCCGCCTGCCTCACCTTTGATAGATGCCCTTTGTTTGTGTTCTTTAGTCAGCATCCACTGATCCTCGATGACAGAGCGGTATAGTGAACAGAGGCGTGGTGAGATCAAGGAGCTCAACACAAATAAAGGCACTTTCATAATGTGGTGAAACTCTCTGTGATGTATTGTGATCTAGCAGCAAGTCATTGAGCTTTTATTCTCCTTTCTGCTGCTTAAAGCTGCCCTCTTCCTCTCTCCCTCTGCCATTCTCACACAAGCAGACCTGTTTGCTTCTTTGCATCCTCCTGGGGTTTCGTTTAATTAGCAAATCCGTACAAATCCAACTAGGGCAGCTGGCTCTGATTGGAGATCTCATATGCAGAATGTCCTTGTGCTGGTAGAAACACTGTGATTAAAAAAAAAACACTTTTAGAGTTCAGATGTGGTTGTTTTGAGCTGAACTTCAGCCGATGCCTCCATATCTTTTTGATGAAAAGATTCATACTTTGTTTTGTATTATCACTATGGGCATGCACGAAGATTGTTTTTTACCGTGGCAAGACATTTTAGAGATTTGAAAACAGCAGATCATTTTCACAGGTTAACAGTTCCTTTTAATGCAGTTTATTGTTGCAGGGATCTGGGTTGTATGTCATCTGAAGGCACAACAGGTCCAATCCGTATTGAAGTCCAATTTGGTGCAGACACAATTCAAGGTATAATATGATGCAGGCAAATCATGAGATCAGTCAGTGACATCATAAAAGTAATGGATCTAAAGAAAGCCCATATAAATGCATTTTTCTGTCAACTTTGCAAAAATTTCCTATACTTTGTTAATGGTTATTTATAATATTTTGAAGGTTATTGTTTGAATGTATAACAATACCTTTTTGCTACCGACAGTCATTTAACAACACTTATAATTTTTGGTCCTATAGACCAATGTTTCAAAAAGCTTTTTTGACTTGTGTACCCCTTTGGGCATTGTCTCACCATGAGTACCCCTCTCAGCCAAAAGTATTTATGATTGTCCAAAAGTCGAACGTACAATAACTGATTTGAAAATTAAAACTATTTTACTTAATCTTTTAATATGAGCATTTAATTCTTATTTATTTTATGTTTTCCATCGCAAATAAAAAACAACATAAATATGTTGCCCGGAAGTTAGAAAGGAATAAAAATAAATACAAAATAAAATCCTATTATAAACCTGTACGGTATTTATAAAACTGGAGCTCCTCTGAGTAATTCCCTAATAATCACATTTAAAGTGGATGAAATGTAAGCAAAATACAGAACAAAAGTTATAGTCAGACTAACCTAATTAGGTGTACTTTGTTTTGATCAAGAAATCTGGGCTTCTTCGATGAGCTCTGATAGATCAGTGTGAAAAAAAACAGATACTAGGCTGCTCTCTTCATCCAGTCTGTTCCTCTGCTTGGTTTTTAATGTGCATCACAGCTGAAGGTGAACTCAAAGAAAAACTTACTTTATAGTTGATTTAAACTTGTTAGATTTTTTTTCAATTGGGTCCTTATAAAGGAGAACAGATCCCATCCCTATTTTATTTTTCTACCTAAGAAATAAAATATTTTCCTGTACCCCTTGCAATGCACTCGTGGAACACTAGGGGTACGAGTACCATAATAGCTGTTTTGTTCTTGAGAATGTCTTTACTCCCTTATCTTCAGGAGAGTACAATCTGGTTGGAGCAGCCATACATGGTTTCATATAAGTTGAACTTTACATTGTTTAAACTGTTTTTTTCAAGGAATTTATTCAAATCTAAATAAAAAAATAGAACCTAGATGGAGAGGGGTAATACATGATGTGTAGAGTTGATTATGAAAGTGGAAGGTTTCCTCACAGTTGGATCTAAAAGGGCGTTGTAACATTGTTTAAGATAGAGAACATAGATAATGGGCTTTTTTTGATCAAAGTGAAGGAAATTTACCTTTGATTGCTTTTGTGCTGAATTGCGTTTTGTTCCCTTTTGATTTGATTGAACATTTGACAGATTTTTCTTAATGGTCCTGGAAGTAGAAGATCTTTTCTTTGACAAACACACAGCACAATCTCCTCTCGCTGATTTGAAGTAATCGCTTCTCTCTACGCTTTATGTGATCTAGGCTGACGAGTTGCAGATAAAGAAAATACTGTATGGTTTCTGTAGCAAGAAGACAAATGTTGGATTGTTTTGTAATTGAGACAGAACAAAGCAGTTTATCAGCGGTGCATATTTCTGTCCGTGGGGAGCAGCCAAAGGCTCACTGCAGTAAATAGCTTTTTATGCAATGCCTTTCCTTGTACAGCAATTGTTTAGACGTTATAATTTTCCAGAGTTGTAATCTTATGGTCTTCCACTAAAGCTAACTTTAGTCTCTATTGAACCTGTTGCGCAATATGTGTGTAAGCTCTATGTGAAAGAAATTAAAGGGACTTTGAATTTTGTAAAATTGAAAGATTTTAGGCGTAGAACAACCGCTAAATTACCAACTCAGACATTATAAGCAACAAAAACATCATGAAGCATTATTAACCATAAAGGTTATCGTTTCTATTTTGAGCAGATGACACAGATGTGTTTTATTGTTTTATTTATTTATAATGCCTTTTCTATGATGCTCTGTTGATAAATCCACCTCTTTAAGTGTCCTGGATAAGATTAGAGACTGATACCTTCTATGAAGTTTAGTCACGCACAAGGCGTTCTATACTTTTGTACAGTAAATGAGAAGTTAAAGCTCTATAATTGCATTTTTTTTGTAGGTCCAAACTCCTATCTGGATCTAGAACAAATGGTAGTCTCATTCCATTCCTATTTTAGAGTAACATTCAGCTAAGGCTCTTCTAAAAAACAGAGCAGTAATATGATATTTATAGAACAGATTAGAAAAATCTCTTTATTGTCTCACAATGGGGAAATCCTGGTGTTTACAAAAACATTATAGAAAAACTGGTCACACAAAGGTGGACCTTAGACAAATGTATAAGAATAACATTATA